TGACACGAAACTTCCTTGACACTCCGGGACAGCGCCTCAAGAGCCCCGCAGACTCCCAGGTGGAAGATGACTCACTCGCCGGAGACGCAGAAGGGGAAAATGAAGAGACGGTGAAAAAAAAGGACAGTTTCCGCCAAGAGATGGTGAGCGCGGTGTCGCACGAGGATGATGACGACGCGTGGCTGTTACGTCATGATGGTGGTGAGAATGGTGTTCCGAGTGCGAGTGCGGAATGAGTGATGTTGGTGGTGATGTGTGTTGGAGGTTTTGCTGAAATTCATGGTACGATCATGGTCGTTATTATCATCATTAATATTATTAAGTAGTATAGTGATTATTATTCTTGTGTTCGCTGTTCTTGTTGCCATTGTTGTTATCATTGTTATTTTTATCATTATCATCATCATTATTAGCATTATTAGCATTATTATTATTGTTACTATTATTATTGTTATCACTATTGCTGTTATCATTATTGTTGTTGTTGTTATTATTATCATTATTATTGTCAGCATCATCATCATCTTTATGTTATCATTATCATCATTTTTATTATCATTATTTTTTTCTAATCATCATCATTGACATTATCATTATCATTATTATCATTATCATCATTATTATTATCATTACTATTGATATAATTATCATTATTATTATCCCCATTATTATAATTACTATTACTATCATTATCATCATCATTATCATCACTATTGCTATTTTCATTACTATCACTATCATTATCATCATCATTGATATTATCATTATCATTATTACCATTTCCATTCTCTCATAGCACGGGGAAGAATATCATTGTGGAAAGTATATATCGCATGGTAGTAATGGAAATGATGTCACACTGATATAGAATGGTGTTTGTGTTGTCTTTGTCATTATTGCAATGGGAGAATTATCCATCATTAATGTTATTTTTTCATCATCGTTACTATTGTGTAACGTCATCAATATTGTTATTTTTTTATAATTGTTATCATTATCATTATTATCATTATCATCATTACTATTGCCATCATTATTATTGTTGTTTTTATTATTATTAATTATTATTATTAATTATTATTATCATTATCATTATCATTATCATTGTTATCATTATTTCTATTACTGTTACTACTGTTATTATTATCATCATTATTATTGTTGTTGTTGTTTATTATAATTATTGTTGCTATCGTTTTTATTATTATCATTATAATGTATGTTATTACTATTACCATTATCATTACGACCATTGTTATTATTATGTTTATATTATTATTATCATTATCATTATAATCATTACCATTATTATCTTTATTACTATTATTATTATCAATATTATTGGTATCATTATTATCACTATTGTTATTATTGATAATATTATTATCATTATTATCATTATCATCATTATTATAGTATCAATAATAATGATTATGCTGATAATGATTATTATCATCATTATTCTTACATTATTATTATCATAATCATTATCATTATCATTATCATTATTATTATTGTTGTTGTTGTTGTTATCATAATTATAATTATTATCATCATCTTTATTATAATCATTATTATTATCATCATTATTTTTATCATCATTATTATTTCTATTAATATCATCTCTATCACTATCATTATTATTATTATAATCATCATCAAAGTTACTACTATTTTTATTAGTATTGGCATTGTTGTTATCATTATTGTTATCATTTCATCATTTTTAGTAGTATCATTATTATTACTATTATCATGATTATTGTTATTATCATTATCATTATCATTATAATAATGAAAATAATGGTAATAATAATGATAATAATGATAATAATAATGATAATAATTATAATGATAATAATAATAATGATAATGATAATAATAATAATGATAATGATAAATAATAATATAATAATAATAATATAATAATGATAATAATAATAATGATAATGATAATAAAGATAATACTAATATGATAATATATAATTGATAATAATGAAAATGATAATAATAATAATAATGATAATAATAACAATAATGATAACAATAATAATAATGATAATAATAACAATAATATCAATAATATCAATAATAATAATAATGAAAATGAAAATGAAAATGAAAATAATACTATTTGATATGGTACTATATATATAGATATGCACTTAATAATAGTGATGATAATAACAATGATAATGATAACAATAATAATATAATGATGATGATAACAATAACGATAATGATAAATAAAAGAGAAATGATAGCAACAAAATAAAAATATATGTATTAAAAAAATAATTTATCCATAACAAAAATGACAAAACACAAGCTAAAACACCATTAAATATCATCATCACATTCCCAACACTATCAGCATACGCTATATACATTCCACAATGCTATCTTCTTTCCGTGCTATGAGAGAACAGAAAAAAAAATATATGTAGGCCTATCGTGTGGAAATATAACACGGAGCGAGTTAATTGTGTTTGCGATGTGCATATGACACCTTTTTCATTCAGTCAATATTTAACTATGAAAAAACTAGT